TTCATTATTAACGAAGTAATTTGAACTCAAAACTAGGTTATTACTACATTGGTTAGCACAAACGTATCAAGATTGTTACAATCATGTAATGACAAATGAAGATAATGTAAGGTAAATTGCGTTTTTAAACGCATCTTTAGTACGAATCTAATCAATTATGAGTTCAGTGTAATTACACTTGGTTTGTGAAAACTATTTAATTTTGCTCTTCGAATGATCAATGGCCGGATCAGTGACCCCCATCTCTATCAGGTGTTTGTCCAGTTTCCCTGATCTATTGAGCAAATGCTGAGATGACCCCTTGTTTTGCTTCTGGGCGTAAATGTAGCTTCACTATGATCACGTTTTGTTGAACTCTCCTTTTGCTTGTAATGGTAAGAGTAGAGGTAAGGGCAAGTTGCTATTTTGTTAGCAATTCAGACAAATCATACTTGCAATTCGTGTACCGATGCAAATAAGTTTTCTATAACTTAAAAACGAAAATGACTATTATTCTATCTTGCGATTTTTAATTTTTTTTTTTTTTTTTGCATTTCTTTATGTTAAACTTTTACTCGTCTTTCAACTATTTATAGTTAATGACGGGATGGGATTTTGAAACTCAAGAAAACGTGCGCAGATAATCTTTTGCCCCCTACGTCACATGCAGGTTTTACTGTTTTTTGACTGAATAAATCTAAATCTAAAATCAGATCAGCAACGTATGTAAACACTCCTTCAACATAAAAATGAAGTTTTATTAATACCAGATCTCTCTAATAGTTCAGGTTAAAATTTTTTTGATATCCACTTGGGAAACCGCATTCGCGGTTTTTGCTTACGAAATGACAGAATTTACAGTAGTCGGCCAGTAATGAAATCGTCCGAAGGTAGGCACTCCTGTGCACGAACTACTTGATGAAGAAAGTGTATGCCAGTCACTGGTTCACATTTTCTACCAAATAATCGGCCTTTGAATAAATTTGTGAGGTCGAGTTCGAGATTTCTCAGAAGGGAGGGCCAGTTTAACGAAAATATTCGGAAACACTGTAAAGATTTTCAAAAGTAGTGTTCATTTTGGCTCCTGTATTAGGGATGGAATAAATTGCATTCATCACTGTTATATTTTCATCCTGGCTTTAATGGCGGCTGGTGCCTTGAAAAAACGGCAGCCCCGTTGAATGATGGAAATTTCAGAACAATGATGTATAATGAAACTCGAGCCACTGATGTAATTTAAATAAAAATAAGTTTTACCCATTATGGCCCATTGTATGACACATCCTACACTAATTTCTGATCAACTCAAATTTGCTCGTTTTGTAATACTTCACGATTTTTATTTCTTGAATAGATGTAGACATTGTAGACAATAGAATAGAAATATATAAGCAAGACTCTTCATTGTGAATGCCAGATGTCGATTTAACCGTGGTGGCTAAGGCATTGTATTGTCTACTGAATTTTATGCGTAGAGCCCGAGTCAGAAATGCTCATCCCCTCCACGCTCGCCATTGGTTCTGGCGATTTTCGTTGGTGCTCATGTTTCTGGCTTGATTTCCAATGTACATTCGAGTTTTTGTTATACTGCTGCGTTGAGAGAATTGCAGGTAATAGAATTCATACAAAACAAAAACGGACTAGAATTCCAAAACACGGTGATCACACTCCAGCACCTTGCAATCGTCGCTATTATTTGCGCTCATTTTACACTAGTTTAACTCATTATTATTATTATTATTATTATTATAATTATTATTGTTTTAGTTACTGGTGCTACTGTTGATGATGGTGATGATAACAAAATAAAATTGTTTTCTTTTGAAACTTTCACAAGCCTAATTTACATTATAATAATGAAAAGATCTGTAAAGATCTTTAATTTTCCGCGCTTAGTAAGGAATGTAGTTTCACCGATCGATGTACCATGATAACGGGCCACGGCCCGCGCGTGGTGTTTGTTTCTCATTCTAGCTCTCCCCTCCCCTTACACCCCACTTGCACTTGCATGCCTCCGACGACCACGGATGTGGAGAGGCCAGTCGGCAGCGCGCCTTTTCTTTGCTAGTGTTGAGCCAGCATTAGCGTTTGTTCCGCCGAGGGAGACACCTTGAGGGAGGAAACCGACGTGCGCGCCGGGGCCGGATCTCTCCATCCAGCGGGGAAAGAACACCGCCAGCTCTCAGCATACAAGCAGATACTGAGATGTACAGGGGGTGCATAAGTAGGTATACGAAACGTATACTGTAGTTTTATCTGTTCTAAGACCGTTTTTTCTATTCTATCAGCCATTCAAATAATCATGGCTGGTAATTTAGGGATTGACCAACGGAAGATGATAATTATACAATACTGGACGACAGAGAATGCTGAACTGGTTCGACAGAAATTAAAAAAATTGAAACCCTCCACCATGTAGACTATCAATTTACAGATTGCGCAACAAACTAGTTCAAACTGGGTCTATCTGTAATGCGTCTAAGAGTGGTCGACCACTGAGTGTTACTAGTCATGAAAATGAAATGGTACTTCCTTAGTCATGTATCCAAAGCCAAATAAATCCAAACGGAGAGCCTATGAAAATGCTGAGCCTTTGCACTTATTTACAATCTGTATGTCATCCCTATTGTGACTTTATAAATCTGTTTTCAAAAATTAATAAGTTATACCTTGATATTTCATTATCATTTCTTTATCAAACATTTTTTTAATAATGATACCTACTCTATACTTACTTATGAACTCCCCTGTATAAAAACATTCAGTAAATTAACGGAACGAAGGATCATAGCAGTTGCAACATCAATCCATCGACCGAATCAGAGGGTTGGGTCCGCCTCAACAGGCGGTCAGAGGCGGGGACGTGACAATGCAGCCGGTCACCCGGGAAATCGGATGTCGCTTCGCCGTGACCTCCAGGCGCAGATGCGTTGAAGGTAGTCGTGGGTTCCCTCGCATGGCACCATGGGAGAACGGGAAGACACGGAGGCAGAGGTACGGAATTGCAGCGGATGAGGAGGGAAGGCATGTGAAAATAAACAAGAAATCTAAAGAAAAAATTTGGAGCAGTGTTTGAGAAAATTTTGAAAATGTCCATGGGGCTCCATGTAAAATACACCCAAATTTTGGAGACTGTTTTTCAAAACCGTAGCGCCTCCACTGGAAACAGATCGACTAAGGAATAGCAATTAATTAAATCAGGAAGTGTAGGAAACTAATCTGGGATAGTTTTAAGCCTGGGCTCCCAAACCATAAACGACAGCTCTCCCTTACTGAATGGGATAAGACGACGGGTGTCCTATCTGAATTACACTCTTTATGGAAATACTTCGTTTCAGTTTCGTCATCACAATGCATTACTGTCATATCCAGTAAATATTATTTATAATTACATGAATAATAGTAGTAATAGTAATAGCAATAATAATAGTAATACTAATTGAATTGTATTAAAGCCTTTTTTGCGTGGCGAGACACGGGCCATCAGGACCGCTCTTCCGCCTGACCTCGCAGATTTCGCGACGCACCTTTCTCCATCTAGTGGAGAAAGAAGGTATTAGTCGGGTGACGAATCTGGTGATCTGAGTTTACCTCAGAGGATTCATTTAGGCTTGAGGACCTTTTACATGTAGTTAGTCTATAGCATGAGACAGACCGCTTTACTTCCCCTCCAAAGGAAGGCGTACGAAGGATTTTTTCGCTATTTAATATCCACGGCTTCGGTCGGGTTTAAACTCGCGAACTTGAGTATAATAGCCCGATACACTAACATTTAAGCCATCGCCGCCCAATTATAACGATATTTATGTCGTAAAAAACAGCGAGTTGTACTGAAGTTGCAGTCGAATGTATGTTATCCCGAGTTGCGAGCGGCTGGCGCCTGCAGGAGTGGCTCCTGCAGCGCCTGCGCTTCCTGCAGTTCGAGATGGGCTGCGCCGTCGCCGACCTCCGCCGCAGGCGCTCGCTGCTGCCCTCTGTCGGCGTGAGTGCGCAACACTCGCCCCCTCCTTACCACCCACGCACCTTTCCTTCAGCCCTCACTTCTCTAGATGCGAGGACTATTAGATGACAACTGTAGCTCGTTTGTCTATTTTCTATTAGGCAGGGAGAAATACTTCTGGTTAATAATGCTTAACGGCCGGCGCCAGTTAAGGATTTCACAGTTCGCCGTCCATTAAAAACATGTGAGTTTCAGGTAAAGATGGTGTAGGAGAGCACATTTTCCAAGAAATTATACTTGACATTTTTTGTTTACATGTGTTTTATACTACAATATCTTACTAGGAAAAGTTATAACGGCTGATAGCACTAATAACACATTCAATTGTATGTTGTTTATCAGCCCAATGGTGTTAATAAGCACAACGATTTATAACTCCATTCCCGACATGTGTGTGATCTTTGAAGAGTAAACAAAAATAAATTAATTGTTTATTAATTTTAATAGCTTTTACACCATATATACAGTTGTCGTTTTTCATTCAAGCTGCTTATTGATGTTCTATACGTCATCACAACTCATGTGTGTGAATATAGAACAATAAATTCATAAGCCTATATTAAGCTCATACTATGGTTGCCAACAAAGTTCATATAAAAGGGAAGACACTCGACAAGCAAAGAAAAAACTCATCAACACATTTTTTATAAATATGAAATTTAGACTAACATCAGCTCTATCACTTTCTTTTCTCCAATTCCTGTTCAAGTGAAAAGATTCGTTCACAAAATGCGGATGAAGATGGTTTGAACGCCTCTTTTTTTATTTATTTTTATTGTTATTTTAGTCATTTTTAGAAAAAGGCTATTCATGTTTTCAATTCTAAATTAAATAACGATGCAACGTAACAGATGTTAGTCATGTGTTAAAATTAATGACAAACATGTAAAAAAATTCTAAAATGAGGACATTTAAAATTAAACGAGGAATATAGTATCATATTTTTTATGTCAATGGAGGACTGCCCTCCCAAACGGAGGATGGTTGGCAACCCTAGCTCACACTCAGTCGCATGGCCTAGGAAGAAGAGCTGCTTCCGTCCCTGGAAGAGGTGATGGAGATCAACAGCATCCTCCAGAACATGAAGGACGTCGTAGCTGCGTTTAAGCAGGAGGTGATTCGGAGGCAGCTCGACATCTGCCTGCTGGAGAAGCGATGTTGCGTCCGGGCAGTGGAGTCGGAGTACTTCTTCGAAGAGGGCGTGAGTATTTTTCAATGTTTATTTATGGAACTAGTACAAGGAGTGCGCATTTGTCTAGTGAAAGAAGTGATGACGGACGAGGCGGCAGTATGAATACATTTCTACTGTGAAAACTTGTACACTCAATTTGAACCTAGAACAATGAATGTGTCCAAGCCGAACAACTATTAACTATATTATTTCACGTATATCTTCATACAGTTACATAATACAAGCTCCAAAAAGAACGGTATAGTTATTTTAAACAGCATCGCAACGATGTCTAAGAGGTAATAATGTATCTTCATTATCTATGTACGTCTTCTAGAATTCAGAGGGAAATATTCAACAGTTATTCAAATTACTGTTCTCCACGTTATCGCGGCAGGAAATATTATTTCGTCTCAAAGGACATGATGAGGGATAAGCATAAATCTATAGCTGATTTGCCCTTGAAAATTTATTTTATTACATCGGAGCGAATGTTTCGTTAAAAATTCTTGCCAAAAGCGCGTATTTGTTTCTGTATTCAGAATTCATCTTAAGGCAGGTGTCCCAGAATTATGACAACGTGCTGAGAATACACTTCTCCCCGTAGCACGCAGTTTTAAACTGTTTTTGTCGTAAAATAAATTTAAAAAGTACGCATTTTCCAGTATAAAGGTGGCCTTCAATTATTTGGCGATAGCATAGCTCTCCGTTACTCTAGTTCAATTCTAATCGAACGTCTTTGGACTAGAGATTGGACATCGCCTAGAAAACAACGATGTTTGTAAAGATTGACATTTAGAATTTAAAAAAACGAATGTTAATGAAACAATGCTTCAAAACCATAGATATTTTTAATAGTACATTGGCGCCCATTAATGTTCACGTGAGGATAATTTATTTTAATGATATCCTCATTTTATTTGAGTTTTAATTGAAAAAACATACTGAATGAAATGATCAGAATAATTATCAAAGCTTTCATCGTCTGATTTGATCATTAAAAAATTATGTAGTCTTCATTTATAACAAATATAAAGTTGATTTTGATTATTCTCGTTCTTGATCGTATTGGTCTGAAGAATGGTCAATTTATTAATATGAGAAAATCAGTTTTATTGCAGCTTTTTATTATGATGGAACATTTTTCATTAAACAATAAAATATCAATCCACGAAAACATCGAACAAACACATTCTTAAAAAAACGTTGGTTTCAAAGAATCGATGTTAAATTCATCGATTTTTTTTACACATGGCCATCCATACTTTACCGGAAGAGGTGGCTTAGATCATCAACTGATTGCACTACAGTGCCTGTAACTGGGAGGTCCTGAGGATCGAATCCTTCGGTGCCAGGATTTTCGACACAAGCCGGATAGCTAGGTTCAGTTTTGTCGCTTTCTGGATAACATTCAAGTGGCCGGCTGCTCTGCTCGGTAGTTTTCCTTGGTTTCTCCGATCAACATCAGACGAATAGCAGAGCAGTACTCTAACAAAGGGACCGCGTGCGATCTTTCCTTTGTCTTTCTTTTTACCCACACAATTACACACACATGCATTTCATTGCCACACATGGCGGCAGCTTAGAGCTTGTCGCGGCTGAGGCGGTGCCCCGCTGGTGGGAGATACCTGCTTGAGGAAAACCCCGCTAGCCGATGGTAGGTCGGCGCCGGATGTCGCCATTTAGCAGGGGAAAGCACCACCACCTCCCAAGAAACAGTGATTACACTTAGGGGACTAATGGCCCTAGTAGCATCCTGATGTTGGTGGCGGGTGCGGTGGCGGTGCGCAGCGACCGACCGCGCCGGGGGCGTTGCAGCGGCGCGTGGCGGCCGTGGAGGGCGTGGTGCTGGAGGGGGAGCTGCTCTCGCAGCAGATGCTGCGCGCCCTGCACGCCCGCATCCTCAAGGTGCCCTAGTCCCACTCACCCATTCAGACGATGCGAGAAAGTACCTGCTGCAATGAGATGGATAGAATAAATCTTAATGTTAACAGACACATACATCCGGGGCGTAATAGTCGCACACACCCGCCTAGGAATCCATCGTGTCTACATTTGCTTAATTTGTGTGACTTCTCGGAGTGCAGTTCAGCAATTTGGCTTTTTTTGTGTGCAAAATGCAGTGATCGGTGGAAGACGAAACTATCACTAGGGGTTTGGAAAGGTTTTAATAAGAATACCGATAAACGATGAAACAGTGACTTCGTTAGCTAAACAAAGTTAAAGGAGAAAACACGCGTTGGTGTCTGTCGTTAACCATCCCCTCCCACTAACATTACTCACAAGGGGGCGTTTTGACTTCGCACTCGTGGAATCAAATGAAATTTGAAGAGATGGCATATCGCGTTCACGTGTGTGTGTGTGTGTGTGTGTGTGTGTGTGTGTGTGTGTGTGTTTATCGCACAATGGCCATGCTTTACGAAAAAAGGAGTCTGAACGACTGTCCACTAAGTGAAAAAAATTAGAATTTGCTTTCTATACGCTTTATTACAGAATTGTTATACGAATGTAGATGTCGTTTTTGATTCCTCGAAGACATTGAAGTATTACGCAATACTTTCAATTTTAAAAGTCTGAATGAAATTAATTAGATCGCTGGTGCGGTAGATACCTTCTAATAACTCTTTGTTTTCTGCCCGCTCTGAACGATCATTAGCAAAATAAATTGTTGATACCAGACATCTTTTATTTACCATACTTAAATATCAGAAAATTGAAATAGAGTACAATGTAAATATTTTACTGCGATAATCCGGGTGTCTGAAAGTGATAAAGAGCTTAGTATTAGCTTAGTATTTAGTGTTTCCAAATGGATCAACTACTTCGGCCACTATTCCTGTAAGCGTAGTGCATTCTATAGATAAATATTACCCTTTCCAACTGGTCCGTGAGATCCAGGGCCGATCTTGAATGACGGTGTGCGTGGACTCTCCCTGCAGGTATCTCCCACCAGCAGTGCACCGCCCCGCCCCCCCCCTGCCTGGGCAAGCTCTAAGCTCCCGACCGGTCTCCCGGCAGGTGTGCTTGTGCACCGCGTGTTAGTGTAAGAAGGGACGAGGACGAGCAAGGCACGCGATCCATGGCCCGTTTATTAGGCTAGTGGTCGGCGGTTCGCCTGGGGTGTGTCTGAGAAACGGGGAAGAGGGAGGCGGCCTAATTGCTGGAATCGAGTGGCGGCGCGCGTTCGCGTGCGCGTGTGTGAGCGCAGGAGCAGCGGCAGCGCGACGAGTGGGAGGCGCGGGTGCAGGGGGCGGAGGGGGCGCGCACGGCGCCCAGCGGCTACGAGGCAGGCAGCAGCAGCAGCGGCGGCGGCAGCGAAGGCGAGTCCCTGGTGCGCGCTCCCCCTCTCCCCTCCTCTTCTTCTCTTCCTCTTCTGCATCTGGTTCTTCCCTTCTTTCTCTTGTCTCATTCTCTCTCTTCTAAGTCTCACTCTCTCTTTTCTTCTTCCCCTTCTTTCTCTTCTTCCTTTCTACCTCTTATTCTTCCCTTTCTCTTTATTATTTCCTTTCTTCGTCTGGTTATTTCTCTTCTATTTCTTCCGTATCATTCTTTCTCATCTCTACCGTTTCTGCTTCTCATTCTGTCTTTTCTTCTTACTTTTCTTTCTTATCTTCCCTCCTACTTCTTTTTTATCCCCTCGTTGTTCCCTCTTTATTTCCTTTCATTTCCTCTCCTTATCTCATTTTCTCTTCCTTACTTCTCGCCTCTTCTTCCTATTTTTTTAAAATTGAATCTTCATCAGCGAAACGCGTCTCCAAACCCTTGTTGTGCGTTCAGTGCTCGAGTATATTGTGGGAGTAATCCTCCTTGAAGTTATATTTTTGACAAGTCCCGTCACGTCGCAGTCGGTCATTGCCTTTTATCCCTTCGGCCAGGGGCTCCGCGCCGTTAGTAACCGAGGTCCCCAGACGGTCACCCAACTAAGAATCCGCAGTCTCGAATTGCTTAACTTCCTCGACTTGATGGAGCGCAATTAAGCAATTCGGCTAGCGACGCCAGCTTCTTCTTCTTACTCTTCCTTCTCAGCTTCTTCTACTTCGTCTTCCCTTATTTTTCTTTCTCCTTGTCTTTCTCTTTCCCCCTCTTCTATTTCCATTTTTATTTTGCCTGCGTTCTTTGTGTGCGTAGATCTTTTTGTGTGTTTATTCTGAATGTTCTCTGTTATCAACTCTGTTCAGAATGTTCATTGTTGCCCCGTTACTACCGTGAATTCGCTTCTCTGCGATGTAGATGATCTTGATGAGAGATAGTAGTACTCCAGAATTGCATCACGAAATAGTACCTAACTTTCGTATCAGGTGCGTGAAATGGGTGATTCGCAAATTTATCGCCAGAATGACAAAGGGGAGTGCGGAAAGTATCTCGCGCACGAGTCGCGTGTACTATTCTTGAACGCGCGTTTTATCTTGAAGGAAAAGTGTTTTACATATACTAGCATTTACCAGACGTTCACTAGCGTGACAGGACCGGTAGACACTTGTTACGTAGATCTTTTATGTAGGCAAAGTGACTTTAGAATTTAAATATTAGGCATTATATTCGCAGTCCTTTTTGCTGGCCGTTAATTCTCAATAGAAGTGATATATAATATATCAAGTCATAGAAATAAAAAAAATGCAAATTAACTGCCCAGGTAATTCAAAAAATTACATTTTAACTGTGATGAAAACTACGAAGGAATTTTGCTACACTCACAACGCCACCTATCGGTATTCATAAATTTTTTTACAAAAATCTGAGGTGGAATGTTGATTCCTACACATGCAAATCCATTGCGTGGAGAATCTCATACGCGGGCATGGGATCGTTCATCTTGGCAGTGCCATACCAACGGGAACTGGGGGCAGTGAAGGGCTTTGGTAGACGACTGTTAATATCCTGTTATTGAGGTGCAGCGATGAAGTGACGGTGTGGATCGAGTATTGAAGCTCTGCAATCACGTGAAATAGTATGTATTTTTTCATCAAGTTTGACCTCTCTAAGAGGAAACTTAGGTGAACAATTTAGCATACTTTTATGATTTGGACGGG